CTTTGTGTTTGTTAAATACAGTCAACAGTATTCAGAGTAAAGGTTTGAGGATAAGACTAATATTTGCAGAGTTTCAACTTTTGCAAGAGTCCTGCACTTTTAAATTCTAGTAATGTGGAGGGTTAACTGTACACAATCCTTTATAACTGTGACAAAGACAAAGGAACCTTTTTAAATGAATCCATAGTTCCAGAAAATGAAATGCAAGCTACTCTCAAAGTACAGTAGTCTTGCTTATCCAACATAAATGGACCAAGAGAACATTGGATAAGCAAAAATGTTGGATAATAAGGAGAGACCAAGAAAAAGCCTATTAAACATCAAATTGCATTATGGTTTTACAAATTAAGCACCAAAACATCATGTTTTACAACAAATCAACAGAAAAGGCTGTTCAATCCACGGTAACGTTATGTAATAATTACTATATTTACAAAATTAGCACCAAAACATCGCAATGTATTAAAACAGCTGTGGATCTGGGTGGGAGGCAGACTGCGTTGGATAATACAGAACGTTGGATGAACAAAGGTTGGATAAGCAAGACTCCACTGTACATGGAAAATGTAACCCACCAGGAATAGATAGCATGCCAATAGAGTTGTTTCAAGCTACAAAGGCATAATCCATTAAACTTAGTCAGTCCTCCACATTCGCAAGTTTAGTCATTAAACTTAGATAATTTAGTCAGTTCTCCACATTCGCAAGTTTGACATTTGTGGATTTGATTATTCACAGCTTTGCAATCCCTTCCAGAGACAGCTAGGAAGTAAGTTTCAATGGCAGTTGGGATGCTCTTCACTCCTTCTCCCACTCTCCCTATGTCCCTGGAAAGCCCTCCAAAGTCTCAAACCAGCAGACTTCAGGAGCAAGGAGGGGTGAAGCCACCACAACACCACAACTGAAGCCACAGGAAGCAGTGGTGCAGTGATTTCAATCACCATCCACCCCCCCCCCTGAAAAATCTCCTGATTTGTAGACTTGTTTGGGAGGAGGGGTGAATGGCAACTTCAATAATCACTACTCTGCTCCCTTAAGACCATAATATGATATACTCTAGTCCTGCCAATGTCTGCAAGTTCGTAGACTTCTGAGGTAAGGGTGCTGCTGAGAGGTGTAAGGGTGCTGCTGTGCTTTCCCCAAAAGTCATAACGAATAGAGCATCAGTCATATCAGTCACCAAACACCCCTACCCACAAAAACACAGAGCATTCGCAAATCTTGGAGAAATCCGTTTGATACATTTTTACCTTGTTTTTTATTCAATGACTGCAAAACAGTATACACTGACATCTTCACATCAGTCCTAAGAAGTATTGTACAAGCATCTCCTGTTAGGCTGAAAGATTTTCCAAGAAGTCTTAACTGATCAAACTGTATCCCCCTTCTAGTTCTGCAACATCTCTATAATGGCATCAAAGTAATTTCCAGAATAAAGCACAGCGTGGTGATATGTTCAATTCCTTGTCATTTTAGCTCACTCACATCAAGAATGACTACCTCTATATGTTCCATTTCTTATTTCACGAGTTCCGCATTTCTCTGATTTATGCTTTCCACATTCAATGTTCTGGCTGCATGCACTGTGCATTGTTATACTTTTTTTTTCACCGCTGAGCACATCAGCAGCTGAACGTCCTTTTAACTTAAAGCCATGTGTATCAGCTCTGCTCATACTTGTCCTATGCTCTTCATTTTGGAGTTTTCAAGGTAACACACATTCAGGAATGGCTTATCGCTGACTGCTTTTAGAGTTATTTTATATTATTAATTTATTGTAGTGTTTTTATGGCACTGAATGTTTGCCTTTTATGCTGTGAGCCACCCTGAGTCCACATAGGGAGACAGGGCAGGATAGAAATAAAGTTTTATTTACTTACTTAGGTAAAGTGCTACTGACTTCATGTTTGAGAGATTGTTTGTCCATTTCATAGAATCACGGAGTTGGAAGAGACCAGACCCTCTCACACTGGAAATTGCAATAAAAAGAATCTATGCTTCAAAGATATTGAAAAGTCCATTCATGACACTCCTTCCTAACATTTCTAAAAAGAGTTAAAGCCTGGCTTTTTGAGCAAGAATTTGCAAATGCAGTGTAACAGACTA